CTAGCAAGTTTTTACAGTTATTAAGAAGAGGTAAGTTTTTAAAAGAAAAACGATAACTTACAATTAGATTTCACGTCAAATTGAAAAAGAGGATTCAGGTCTTATGTTCACACTAAAATAATAACTTTTGAAAGCTAAAAAAATTCCTAAAATTATTGAAAAACATATTTCCAAGAAATTATTTGGAACATAACTATTAATATTATTATTTATTTAATAATCATAGAAGAATATTGCACATTGCAAAAAATTTTCTGTTGCACATTGATCTATTTAAAATGATTTATAAGTTTTCTAGGCGTTAAAGCCTATACAAAATATATATGGTACATAAAGGTATAGGGTATTCCAATATTCCTAATTCAACTTTATTTTAAGTAGTTTTCTTCTATAAATTGTTTCGAAAAATTCCAAAATTTAATTAAATTAATTAATGGAAAATTAATAATTACTTATTACGTCATTCAAGCCCAACAATATTAAAATGTACATATAGAAGGCTGTAGGGTAGCGTATTAAAATATTCTAAAAACCTACTTTATTTCACAAACATACATACATAAGTGTAATTAGTAGAAAGTGAGTTGCCATTTTTTGGCTGTACACAGTCAATTAAGCTAATATCTTTTAATAAAAAAATAGTAAAATTTAGTAGATCTTTCGGCCATGAGAACAAAGCGTAACTATAATTTATCCGGCGAAGTAACTTAATGACATTAAAATAAGTATTAATGCAATCATACCTTCACGGCCACTTTTGTTTGCGGTTAATCCCAGGATAGAAAATATTATTACAAAAAAAAAAAATATCAACAAACTCATTTGATAAATTTTGATTAACTGTTTTATTTCCTAAACTATATAGAAGTTTAGGAGATACTAATTGTCAGTTAGTAAATTGTTTGGTAAATTCGGTGACAATTAATGATTAAATGTTTTTAAAAATTTAATTTGAACGCTCTAATAAACCTATTATATCTCTCACAGAACTTCTTTAGATATTCTAACTTTAGAAGTCTTAAAACTGAAAAGGATAAATAAATATAGTCAGAACCCAAAAGACGCCAACAGAGTTCAAGTTGAAAACATTTGACATATTTTGCTGGTTCTCTCTTTCCAAAATTCAAACTAATACTTCGAAGTCATGAAGTGAGAATGCTTTGAATGGGTTTAAAGCTTATAGGATCTGGGATTTACAGGTTCATATTAAGTATGATATATTATATATATTTCTCGTATTTGTATATTTCCACAGCTCACTTGACCTTAAGATTACACATTTCTATGTAGTGTATGTTGTTTGTATACTTGTACATTTACGATTTCTACTTTTCCAATGTAGATTTCTTCTCACCAAACGCAAGCAGAAGGTTAAATGCAGGTCGCTAAAACATTCAACACGGTGGCAGCGGACAGACAAATAATAAATTTGCTTACATGACTACTTAAAAGCTGTAAAGCATCACTTTTTGTTGTTGCCATACAGCTATACATACAAGTGTACATGTTGTGGCATTAGTTGCTTATGCTGTTTGCTGTTGTTTATGCTTGCAGCATTTTTGCATAGATACATAAGTGACTTATGTTCGTCTGCGCATGCGCCTGCCTGCCTTTGGCCGCTTGCTGCCACGAAAGCTACCACATTTGCTTGTTGTGTTAGCGGCCTTAAGACCGCAAGCATGTCGCTGTCCAGCTGCCTGCCTGTCTATGTCAATGTCATGGCACTCTATTACACTAAGATGACAGTGTGTAACATATGGGATGTAGCGCCTCTGCTGCCGAAACGGCTTATTTGCTTGTGCTAGTGGTTTTCGTTGTCTTGGCTGCTGCTGCTTCTGTCACGCGGACAACGTCAACATTTTGATTAATGCGTTTGTAATGGGCAGGTATGATAGGCACATGCGCATGCGTCACGACGTTTTACGCATTCACGTCTACATATCAAATTTCTATATTGGCGATGACGAGCAGGTCTTGGGTGCTGCGGGGGAGATAGTAACTAGCGCATGTCTGCTCACTGCATTGCAGCTGATTTTTATTGTTGTTGTAGCAATGCCGTTTATTGAATTAAAGCTGCATTTCGTCAGTTAAGAAATTAAATGAAGATTTAAAGGCGGTAGCGCAACGCCAAACAGCAATTGATAGTAACCAGTGGGCTTCTTCATGTGATTTTAACCTCTAAATTTCTGCATATACAAATCAATTGAATTTATTACGCTTGCCATTTACTTTTCACAACTTCTTTATTACTTCGTTGCACTTTCATTTCGCACCGAGTTGATAACCGGCTATTTGGATTTGCGCTGCTGTATTCCCCTACTGGCTGTCTGACGGACAGCTGTTGCTCATAAATCAACGGCGCAGTGACGCGTAACATTGTTTTTTCAGCCACGCGATAGCCGTTTTTTTTTTGGTATTTTCTTTCTCACTTTTCGCAAAGGTGCGTGCATCCGCGCTGTGCAGTATCTGCGTTTTAGACCAAGTGCGCTTCTACGTGTAGCGATTTTTTTAAGTTGGCCGCTCGAGCATTTCGTTAATTAACTGTAATTTGTCTGCTATAATAAATAAATATTATTTTTGTTTAATTAAAAATGTTTATGTCGGTACGTTAAGCCGGTTCCTGTTCTCAACCTCAAAATAATACAAAAAAAAACGTTGACTTTGATTGCACCGTAATCTTAATACCCTAAAAACGCAAACAAAGCAAATCTTTAAATGTGGTTGACTATAATTCAATCAAAAGTTTAACGATAACTTTATTTTGTTACTTTTCGATTTAAAATGATTTTTATTGAGAGAAGAAAAATTTCAATTTTATTCGCACTGTATTTTATTTCTTATCGAGTATAATCTAATTTTAAGATCTTTTTCTCGATCTCATTATATTTGCGCAACACAAAAACTTGATCGTTGTTTGCTGTTTGTTTTTCAATGTTTCATAAACTGTTGTATTATTGTTACTAACTAGTTAAATTACTTTTTATTTCTCTTAACTAATTTTTTGCAATCCAAAATTAAATCTTACTAGTTTTATATTTCGTGATCTTTGTTTGTATTCACAAATTTTAATATTTATTTTATTGATTTTATTTACTTTTCGTACATAAAAATTCGTGATGTGCAGTTTCTTAATGTCAATTACAAATTTATCGATTTTGTAAAAGGTCAAATTATTTATCGATACTTTTAATCGATAATAAAAATTTTAATATATATCATTTCCCAACAATATACATACATACATATATCACATAAACTCAACACTCCCTATAAATTTGCTATAAAGAAATACCAAACAAAGTAATTTAATTTAATGAAAGTCGATTTAGGCGTGTCTCCCAATATGCATATTTGTATTAAAAGCGCACTTTAACCGCGCATCACACGCATTGAAATGCCATTAAAATTGCAATGATAAACAGTGGTGATGAAAAGTATTCTGCCAATATATAATTATTGGTAATGCAGAAAATTGTGTAGGAGCAAAACATTCTTGCAGAATAATTCTCTGCAAAAGTACTACAACCATTTACGCGTATATGTACATAAGTATGTTTATAGCCTGTGTTGCTTTTCATGCTTTTATGCCGTTGCAAATTAAATACATAAGTTTACTAAAAATTTAAAACCAAAAATCGATCGATGGATCGCTTGAACATGCGGACAGCAAAAACATGCACTCGCTGGTCAATCCAAAGCATTTGCGCTTATGCACGAGCCTTGTGTTGTCAAAATGCAACTTGCCACATGCCGTTGCAATATTAAGTGTTTTCTGTCTGCCGCTAGATGGCTTGCAACGCTAAACTTCTCTCGCTGCCTTATGGTCAAATTGCGCGCCACAGTGTGACATGAAAGACTCCTCCTACTATTGCTTGTTTTGATAAATGGAAAAGAAATTTTTGAAAGCCTTTAAGTAATCGAAAATCTGTCAAGCTTTTATATGTTCAACAACAACAACTTAAAAGTTGGTCAAATATGCAAGCAAGCGAGTATGTATTGATAGTATGTCGATATGTGTGTATATTTGTTTGTAGAATGTAATCGATTAACCTTGTATAGAGGTTTCAAGGAGTGGAAGTATAATTTGAAAGATCCAAAAAATAAATCTTGTTGTTTTAGTATGCTCAGGTTAATTAATAAATGTTATTTCATTGTTTTATTACTTTCTTTCTCATATTTATTTTTTCTCCCTTTCTTTTTTGAACATGACAAATTTCATGAGTGTAACGGTAGTCGTTGATATTTTGCTTTGAAAGTTTAATAATTGGTGAAAGTGCAACAGTTAAGTCATAAGTTAAAAGTGGGTGTGACGTAATATTAATGATCCCTTATTTCGAGATTTTGTTTTGGAATATTTCGTTTTCATACATTTCATTTTTGGGAAAAAATAATAATTTGCGCAAGCATCTACAACACAATATACAATAGAAGGCACAAAATTGGATAAAAATGTATTATTGTGATTTGATTAATCTCTATTTGGTTATATCCATTTTAAATTATTTAGAATCTGAGAAAAATAACTGAAAGCCTCATTGAAATAACAGAATACCCTCTTTTCTCGATTTAAAAACTATTTAATAACGTTCGAAGGATATATGTCGGCAAGATGTAGCTGATCAATATTTGATTTTATGATTTTATCGACCAATTTAATTGTTCAATTCATTTAATTGGAGATCTCATTTGAATAGAAGACTATTCAAAAAGTATTCGACTATAATAGTTTGGTTAGTCGTTATTAAATTTTATCGATTTAAAACCTATTCCAGTTGTATAATAAAGAACTGGATAAAAACTCTTTTGAAAAAGAAAAATTAAAAAAAGAAACGCAAAAACTCTTTTATTTAACAATATTCGAATTTATTGAGAAAATTCATTTGAATATCAAGATAAAATCGTAAAAAGTCGATAGTTTCTTATGAATTAATCGATAATCAAATTAATTGTTTGATTATTTACACTCGAGAATGTCAAAATGAAAGGAATACAACGGAGAAGCGACTTTTATCTCAAAATTCTTTTTCAGTACTTGTTTACAACAGATTTTGATAATATAACATGCACAAAACACCGACTTTAGACTTTAAGGTATTCAACTTCAAAAGATTATATTAGTTGCAGTTTTCTCTTTTGTTGTTTTTGCCCTCCCATTTTTTGTAAGTTCGGAAACCATATCAAAAATTATAATCCGATAGTTAATTTTGATGATGATAAAAACGAGCTGAGTCACTTTAAATCGTTCTCGAAAAAGTTCCACTTGTTGCTGTTTTAGAATCGGTGGCTGATTTGATGGGATTAGTGAAGCGCGAAAGCCTATTTCCGTTTCCTTTTGCGCTTTAAATTACTATAAATAGCTTTTTGATACTTTCATATTTAAATACGTATATTGTATATTTATTTATATGTACCTTGGCATTTTGCCCTAAACACACATTATCTGCTACCCCACGTTATGTGCTACACCTGAGTGAATGTTACACACGATTAAGTGCGACGTACTACTACTCTGTATGTACATTTCTACTTACTTTCATATATGTATTTCAGAAGCAACAGTAATTGATATTGTTGATTTAACAGTTATTGCTGGAATAGCACCAACTTAACTCTGGGTCATACATTTACTGGCGATTGCAGTCGCTATTGTATTTATTATTATTTCGTTTTCACATTTAGAATTGGCTGCCCGGTTACTTGGCTGGCCATTGGACCTTTCCCTCTAAAAACTCGCTAAAAACGCATACACACACACACATGTACTTACGGAAGTAGCATTTAGCCACACATATGTGACTCGAAATTATAGCTTCTGTTGCTGTCCATTGTCTAGCTGATGTTGTTGTTGTGACTACCTTTCTTTCGGCTGAACTTTCGTTCCTGTGCGATTGTTTCGACGGCGCTTGCGCATGCCGACAGTTCCGTTCCATTCCATTTGCGCGGTGTCATGACACGGCTTGCCACCAGCAGAAGTCTGTAAATTGTATTTATGGCCACATTTAAATTTTACAACAAACAATCGTACCAACAGTGCAATGTCAATAATAAAAAAGTGGAAATGAAAATAATAAAAGCCGAAAATAAAGTCAAAACTACCAAAAACAATATAATTTTCGTTTGTGTTTGTGTAATGAAAGGGGCCAGGCTACAACAACAAGTGCTTTAGTGATTTTTCACATGTCATTAAGTTTTTGTTACTCAAACCAACACCCCTATTTGTGTTGCATGCAACATTTTTTTTGGTTCACTAGCAAATCAGTGCCCCTTTTCGCGTTTTGTCTTAACCGTGTCGTACTTTCACTTGTACGCGCGCATGTAAGGGTATCTATAATTCAACCGATACACATACATATAAACATATATATATGTATGTGTTCACTTCCCGCCATCTGTCAAGCATGATTCGATTTGGAGTGTTCAGTGTTTTGGGATGTTACTCTAGCAAAAGTCTGCAAAACAAAAATAACAACTGATTAGCTGATTTCTCATTAAGTAATTGAATTGTATGGCATGTGTCAGAGGTTGACAACTCACGATGCAATATCCCATGACAGGTGGCTGCAAAAGTATATACATACAACAACAATAAGTGAACAATGAAAATGTGCTGCTTGACCGACCGGCTGTGCTTAGTCAACTGGGCGATCGGGCACGTACTTAATGACAGTTAAATGGAATGTGGCAAAGAGATAGTAAAATTGTGCACTTGCAAAATGAGTAATGATAGTTTGTCGGTATCGAGCTTATTTGGGGTGAAAGAAATACAATTTCACCCATAAACACGCCTAATGATGGAGATAATTGATGCAGTTATTTGAATTTTTTTTCACAAGTTTCGTTACATTTTTAAGCAAACTTTTTGAACAGTTTTTTCTTTTTAATAATAATACTTTAAAACAAATTCACAAATTATAGTAAGTTATAGTTTTAAATTTAATTACCAAAGGAAAAAACTCGTGAGAAAAGACCTGGTATGCAGCACAAAAAATCACAAAGGTGTTTGAACTATGGCAAAATTCAACGAATTAAAATACGAATTGCTTAAGCATCTACCGTATTCAGCAGATTTGGCCTTCAGTGATTACCACCTCTTCAGAAACCTGAAACAATTCCTTCGTGGAAAGCGTTTTTCGTCGAATGAAGAAGCTATTACAGCCGTAGACAGGTATTTTGCAGAGCTTTCAGAAGGTCATTATAGGGATGGCATAAAATTAATGGAGGATCCTTCGAATAAAAGAATTGAAGTTAAGGGAGATTATATTGAATAAAAAAATATATATCGTACCAAAAACAGTATTTTTTTCATTTCATGCGCAGATAAGTGATAAGTGCATATTGAATGGGGACTATTTTGCATGCGATAACATTATGTAGATGAATGCATAAATATTTTATTAAAAAAACGAAAATTACCGGTATTTATTTAGTTATACTCTCCCATCCCAATTCAAATGATGTTTCAAAGAGATTGAGTGGGAAATAATATAAGTAAAGAGGTTATTATTGCAATAAAGTGGAAATATAATTGTCGAAAATGCCAGTAAAACAGTTGTGAACAACCATGGAAGAATTGTAAATGTGTCCATGTACTTAGCTTCTAGTAACGTTTGAAAATACGTTCCGACATACAAGATGTCACCTAGCTCGACTACCAACTGCCTGGGAACTAGAATATAAAGGGCATATAGAAAACAGAAAACTTGTCAATGTTGATGCACAAAGTATTTCACCAACTCTATAACCATAAAACTTTTCGAATATGAAATTTACTCTTCCTTACAAATTATACAAATAAATTTGCTGTCAAAACATTTGAAGACGCCCAAAATCCCGGATACATACCCGCTTACTATACAATTGATTTAATGCAACGCCTGAAACTTAGTCTGTAAATTTTTTTCTTCCTTTTTTTTCCTGATACATGAGCTTTTCCTTCACATCAAACAAATCATTAACTCTATCTGACCACCCAGCAAGACAAAAATATATGCTTGCCATATTTGTCCATTCATAAAGCTTGTTAACTTAATTTACCCATATTTTGCTGAGTAAAGGCCACAGGCAATATTAAATTATGCTGTTAGACAATATTATAGAGTGCAATAGCTCATTCAGTCAAAAACCTTGATAAATTGATAGATGATTGCCAAATATTTGCATACTAACTGCACAGAGGGGGTAATCAATAAGCCGGAGATGGATGTACAAGTATATGTAAATATATGAAATGTGAGCATTAAATGGGTGAAAAAAGAAAATATGAAAAAGTGAAATGCGAAAGCATAAAAAATGCAAACAAAAAATTGTAAATTAAATTTTTAAAGTAAAAGCAACAACAATAAGTAAGCCATAAGCTATATCAAGCCATCAATTGCTTGGCAATCAGCGCGGAATTCATTAGGTGCAATAAATTGTGTACTAAAACATACATACATATGCCACAGTAGGTGCAAGGTGAGCGCAAATAGCCGCAACAAATATTTAAAGCAGCAGCTGTTGCTGCCGAGCAACTGAACGCTGATCGCTGCTGGATATAAAAGCAACTTCATCAATGAAAAATTTCTTTCTACTCTACGATTTTTGTTTGTATCTTTTTTCATATTTTCTGAATTTTTTTTTTTTTTTTGAATTGGGCTTTTGAATCTTGTTATTTTCCTCACTTGCGCTCATGCATCCTTTGTTTTAGACCATTTTAGCTTGCAGCGAAATTTTCTTACCTTCACATTTTTCAACTCATAGTTGGTGGTGTTTTTGGTGTTGTTGTATTGTATATATACATACATACGAGGTGTGTTCAAAGGAAAAAGTGAATTTTGAATTTTTTTGAAAAGTACTTATTTATTCATCAATATCTATTTTGTCCCCTTCAAAGTAACCCCCCTCGGATATAATACACTTGTGCCAGCGCTTTTGCCAATCCTCAAAGTACTTCTGAAAAGCGCTTTTCGGTACGCCCAACAGCTCTTTCTTCAATTCTGACTTGATCTTATCAGTTATGGAAAAACGCTTTTCTTTCATTGGTTTCTGCAGTTTTGAGAATAGGAAAAAGTTGCAGGGAGCCAAATGACCCGTTTGAGCAAACCCGGATCGTTGTTGACGTCATTCAACAACTCATGAGCGATACTAATGCGACATTGCTTTTGCTCAAAATTTAGCAATTTCGAAACAAACTTCGCTGTTACACGTTTCATGCACAAAACATTCGAGACAATTTAATGGTGAGCCGATTGATATGCCAACATACTCTGCAACTTCCCTAATAATGATTCGACGATTTTCAAGAACAATTTTTTTCACTGTTTCTGTTTTTTTCGCTTGTTGAAGTGGTCGCACTTCCAGGTTGCTCATCGTCATCAATATCTTCTCATTCTTCGGTAAGGCGCTTGCACCACTTTTAAACACTTTTTTGAGACAAAGTGGAAGAATGCCGCAGTCAACATTTTAAGTTCCTTTGGAGCACTTTATTCCATTTTTAACGCAAAAGTTATTATATATTCTTTGATACCTTTCTTTCAAATATCAAAAATCGTAGAGCACACAAAAAACGTGACTAAGCTTTTCTGTTGTCAAAAACAAACTACTAATATAAATTTGCCTAATGCAAGCACATGATAAGCATATGCGTGCGATTATAGCAAAAACAAAATATCGATAATCGAATGAACACAGCTCGCGAAAAATCCAAATTCACATTTTCCTTTGAACACACCTCGTACATATGTGCCGCATTGTGGCTGCTGCGCAAATCAATGGCAATTAATCAAACGTTGTTCCACAAGCCTTATGGCTGGCAGAAGTGAACTATGTTTAACTGAGCTGTGCTATGTTATGCGAAAAAAGTAGATGTGAGATGTGAAAATACCACTCATACTTGCAGCTTCGCTGTGTAGGAGCAAAAAAATGCCAACTGGGCATGCTTCACAACTTCATTACATGCAACAGTGAAATACATCAAATGCCAGGCTTGCTCCAACAGCATCATAAAATGAAAAAAAAAACAACGCTTGGAACACGGAGCCATTACCATTTTTGCTACGCTCACACAATAAAGCTCACATTCGCCGCATATAATCACACCGGCAATCACAATAGCTGTAGCAGCGGCAGCAGCACACAGCGGTGGCGGCTCCAATGGCAATGGCAGTGAACACCCACCGCCTGCCCACTTAAAACAAGCCTCACACTGTTGATGGCGGACCGGTAGGATTTGCGAATTACAGTCCATATATCCTACGTATATAGTATAGCATGTGTGCTGTCTGCTGCCATCGTCTCCGATACCCACCCGGTTGCATTGCTACATTTGTAGCGGAATTTAAAGAAGTAAAAAACCACATTGCAGCAAACGCGCCTACGTCAATTGGTGGAAAATGCAATTGTGAAGTATACTCCTATAACAATTGCATATGCGCGCAACGATGATGCTATAAGATTATAGTAGATATTGCACATGGGCGAGCAACAACAAGGAAAAGACTTCCTTGCTGCCTCGTTCGCTGCTACTCACAGCTGGCATGTGAGTTGGTAGCTTGGCAGAGTGTAAGAGTCAACTAGCAGCAGCGCCACATTGTATTGACCATTTCGGGTTAACGAAGAAGACAAATTGTCGTCAACGCCACTGCTGATAGACGAGACGCCCCTTCAAAGCAAGCTACTCGTTCGTACAGTGTCTGCATTACCCTCAATATATAGCGTTTGTGTACGAATAAGTTTCCCAACAAGCATAAAAAAATTATTCGATATTTTCTGGAGAGATAAATCTCTCAAACCAAGTTCTCAGGAAAATGCGCTTCTAAAATTAAAAGCGGTTTTCTCTAGTTTCTCTCACATTATTCTTCAATTGTTGTTAAATACGAATATCCAAAGCCAAATCTATAACTAATTTTGAACATTATTCTTTCTTCGTAATATATTCCTCCAGTTTATATCTAACATAAATCTCCAATGTCACACACCAACCTATAACGGTTGTCT